AAGGCTCGCGTCCCGTGTCGGGCAGAGTCAGGCTGTACGTGTGCGCTGGGAATCCAACCCCCGTGTGATCCAGCGCACGCTTTCTTAACCCAGGCAGAAAAAACCCCAGGTCATTGCTGAACCAAAACCCTCTTTATTTAGCTTAAAATCCATACGTGTGTGCACGTGTATGTGTGCGTGTGTGTACACACCGACGTGTAAGGAAGGCTACCTGCTAGTGCTGGACACAGAGTGTGGATTTTTGTTACACAAAAAGCATCTCTGTCCTTCCCTCCTCGTCCTTCCTGCCTGTAGACTCTCAGGAAGTTACATGTTCTGCTGTCTCACTCACCCACCCGGCCAGCTTAGGTGGTACGTCTTTGTTCTCTTTCTCACCAAAAGTGATGAGCAACCTTAAGTTGGCAGTGAACCCAGCTGAAGCAGGATTCAGCCACTAATGCTAATGAATATTTAAAATCTCCTTTGGCCTTCCTGGTGGAAGAGCCAACCAAGAACTCCTCACCAAGCCCGGTAGGAGTTACTGGTCCTGAGGGATTGGCCTGAGAGGCAGAACGAAGTGGTTGCAATGGTTCCATCTCGACGCCAGGGTCTCACCTTCAGACCGCCAGCTGGTCTTCCCCAGGGTTGCTTGGCCGGCTCCCATCTTTGGAAATCACCCTCAGTCCGGAAACCTTGACAGCCCTTCCCCCGGCTTCACCCTCAGGTGCTTGGCTAGTCTTAGGTGGTCAGTCTGCTTCCCTAGAGTGTAAGAAGGAGGGAAGCAAGGAAGAGAGGGTCAAACGTGGTCTCGGCAGCTGCTCAGATTTGGAAATCAGGGCAGAAGTGACTCACAGCACCTGTCTCATCCCTTGAGAGACATGAGGTCACTGGAATTTAAAATTAAGGACCCAGGGTCAACTTCCCTTGCTGGGAGACTGCACGTTCAAGTCATCACAAACAGGAAGAAGAGGTCCGTTTTCATCAGTGGATTGGACTTCATGAGCTTGATGGTGGGCGGGGGGTGAAAACTGCGCTGCATGGAAACAACAGGGAGATGGTTCTACTCAGACGTGTAAATACTTGGTCAGGTGAGCCTCCTACAATCTCCCCGTTAGAAGCTGTGCAGTGTGCCAGGGACAAGAGAGGCTTGGGTCTCTCCTAGAAAGAAGGAAGCATCGAAAGTCACGTTCGCTGACCTGTCCTTTGTCTTAGGAACCTACGCTCAGAGCTGCACCATTCACGGTTTCCCACGGAGAGGGGGGAGGTGGTGGGTTGGGCGCTGCACTGGGAAGACGTCATCGAAACTGTGTCTGTCCGATTGCGTTGAATCTGTAGGTTGCTGTGGGTGGTGTGGTCACTTTAACGATGCTGATTCTTCTAGTCCGAGAACACCGTACATCTTCCCATCAGTGTCTTACAGTTTTCGGAGTCCAGGTCCTTTGCCTCCTTAGGTAGGCTTATTCCTAGGTATTTTATTCTTACTGATGTGATGGCCAGTGGGATTGCTTCCTTAGTTTCTTTCTGCTATTTCATTGTTAGTGTATAGAAATGCAACTGATTTCTGTATGTTAATTTTTTATTTTTTAATTTTTTAAACATTTTATTGAAGTACAGTCAGTTTACAATGTTGTGTCAGTTTCTGGTGTGCAGCACAATGTTTCAGTCATATAGGAACATATGTATTTTTGTTTCCATATGCTTTTTCACCATAGGTTACTCTAAGATATTGAATATATAGTTCCTTGTGCTATACTGTATGCACTTGTTTATCATGGATATTAATTTTGTATATCATATGATATCACTTATATATGGACTCTAAAGAAAAATAATACAAATCCTCAAAAACAGGCTCACAGACATAGAAAATAAACTGTGGTTACCAAAGGGAGAAGGGCAGGGGAGGGATAAATTCGGAGTTTGGGATTAACACTACTACTATGTATAAAGTAGATAAACAACAAGGACCTACTGCACAGCACAGGGACCCATATTCAGTTTCTTATAATAACATATAATGGGAAAGAATCTGAAAACAAAATTTATCCATAACTGAATCACTTTGCTGTAAACCTGAAACTAACATTGTAAATCAACTACACTTCAGTAAATAAAGAAAATTTTAAAAACATGTTATCTGTTCAGACAAGCTAAGATACTGCACATATGATTTAACAGCCAGTAGGAATGACAGCCTCCCCGGCTCAGGACTCTGGAGGGGAGGTTTGAATCTGTCCCCATGTGTGGACAGAAGCCTCACGTGGTCAAGAGGCACGTTTCTCAGACCCCTTAACCTTCCGCGTTCTCAGGCTGATCAGTTCCAGGGACTGGTCAGAAGAAGGACAAAGGAAAGACGAGTGTTTGCTGACCAGGGAAATAGTCAAGTGGGAGGTACTGACAGGACATTCCAGAAGCTCTGGTGAAATGGACAGAAACATGAAGGTGATAGGAAGCCACCCGGGAGACTGAATGATAGAAGACCATCGCGTGCTCTTGGAAGATGTGCCTAACGTGGTCCTGGTTGCGACTGTTTTCAGGCTGAGCTTTTCAGCTCTTCAAAATGTGTGAAATTATACGAAGCAGAGGTGAGTTTGAGAACTGGACGCACTCCTCCCCTGTCAGGCCTCCTCCCCTAGGCTGCCTCTCACTGGTACATCTCCCGAGAATTCAGATGTGTGCTGAATCCCCTCAGCCACTTGTCTTCACTGAAGAGATCCCTCTTCCAGGGGCCGACAGCTTCCCGTCCTGCCAGCAGCTTGCAGGGGCGTAGGTGACAAATAGCAGACTTGGTCCTTGTCCTCGAGAAGTCTGAAGCTGTTAGGAGACTATATACCTAAGGTGCCTGAGTAGCTGTCCCAAGAGGATGTGATCTGGTGCTCGGGGAACGGAAGAGTCCAAAAGTGCCATGACATTTCAGATTGATTTACTCTCGGTCGTACCCATGACTCTTGCGAAATACAGTTTTAAAATGGTGTGTGATTTAATAGGGGAAGGCTCTGGTGTGTGCTTTTTACTAAGTGTTACGACATGGTGGGTGAGATGCAGCTGGACGAGTGGCCAGAAAAATCTGGATTCTGGTCTCACATTCCCCACTGTCCAGGCTCTGATCTCTGAATATCAGTTTCTGCCTTTGTGTGTGTGTGTGAATGTGTGTGCAAGAAATCCTGCCTTCTGCTCCTGTCTTATAAGCTTTCTGTGAGGATAGGACAATTCAGAGCAGTAAAAAAAAGAAGACAACGTTATTATTAACTAACTGGTTCAATCAAACTGCCACCTGAAGTTGTTTTTAAACTGCTTTTCATGTATGCTGTGAGGGTTGGATTTCGTGTATAGCTCTGATAACTCAGAAAGAAGGACTTCATATAATAACATTCTGAAAATAATACTGCACATTCGTGGGGCTGCACTGTGTGGTGTCACCTCACGTGATTGTCACAATGGAAATGATTATCACGTGCACATCACATGCGTAAGAGCCCAGCCCAGCAGCATTGCGGGTTTTCCTCTAAGAAGGTGGAGGAGCTGGGACTGGCCCCGGGTATTTCTGACTTTCAATACAGTGTCCTTTCCAAAAAAGATTTTGCTGCCAACACCTTGCCAGATTACAGAAAGGAAATGAGGCTTTTAAGGAGCTGCTGAAAAATGAAATGTCTAAAAATACTGCTGGGCCTCCTGAGTGTCTGTCGGAAATAACTTCAATAAGTCTTAATCATCAGAACAAAATGAAAACACATTTTAAATGCCGAGGTATTGCCTTAAAAACGCACTCCCTCCCGACCAGCGCCGCGTCACTGCAAGCTCCCCTTTGCACCTGTGTTCATCGCTGTCCATTTTCTCTCTTAGCAGCCGATCAGCTCCTAGCAACCACGACCGGATACAGCGTCTGCGGCAGGAGTTCCAGCAGGCAAAGCAGGACGAAGACGTGGAGGAGCGACGGCGGACCTACAGCTTCGAGCAGCCCTGGGTGAGTGGGTGCTGGGGCTCGGGCAGCCCTGGGTGGGTGTCAGGGCTCGGGCAGCCCTGGGTAAGTGGGTGCCGGGGCTCAGGCAGAGCGCGGGAGGCCCCGTCCCTGCAGCGGGAGCCGCTAGGTGGGACCTGGGGCCTTTGACACAAGGCCAGCCGTGGCCAGGCTGCTCTGACCTGCAGCATCTTGACCTCCTCTTCTCCATCTGGGTTCCGTCGTCGCTAATTTCGTTGCTCATTTCATTTTATATCTCATTGCACCGTCTGTCCATTGCCTGGTAGGTTCCACTTGCCTCGTGACAAGACGTGGCAGGAGTGGTCTTCCAACTACGTGTTTTTTTCAAGCTTAGTATTTTTCTGTATATATTTCTGAGTCAGAGCCCAGGGAAATCAGCCCAACACATCAATAGTGTATCCACTCTCCACGAAGTGCAGTATTTAGAGATTTTTTTTATGGTGGGGGGAGGTAATTAGACTTATTTATTTAGAGGCGGTGCTGGGGATTGAACCCAGGACCTTGTGCATGCTAGGCATGCGCCCTACCGCTGAGCTGTACCCCGCCCCCCGACAGTATTTAGACATCTGGAGTCTTCCCCGTGCCTGCTGTGTGTTTGGCGCCTCCCTGTAGCCCTTTTCCAGCCGTTCCTCCCACAGCCTCCAGCGTCATCTCTACAGCAAAGCTTCGAGTGTCTTGTCGGTGCCCACAGATAAAGCCCAGACTCCACAGCGTGGCGAGCTGACAAGTCCTCCCCGACCTGCCCCAGACTCGGGCTCTGGCCTTGTGTTTTGCTGGAGAGATGATGGCCCTTCTGGGAAGGGAGGCGTTGGAGCACATGTGGGGGTTCGAGATGGACTTTTGAAGACCCTCTTTGGAAACCTGAGCGAGTCTGGTGGAGATGATTTCCTCGGTGCTCGGGGTAGGAAGAGCTAGCTGAGGGTACTAGCAAGTCCGGTCAGCGTGGTCACGTGACCATGGCCAGCAATACTTTGAGGACTGGGAGTAGAAAAAATAATTTTTTAGGGTCATTCCGTGATGAGGATTGGCAAGACAGGCATGGCAGGAAGGCAGGAAGGCGCTCTGGAAGCCTGGTGAGGATGCTGGTGGAGCCCAGCCCAGTCTGGGCCGGGTGGTCAGTACAGCTCAGGGAGGCGTCGCCCTGATGGCCTGGGAGGGTGTGGGGGTGGGGCTCGGCACAGCTGCCTCGTGGGCGTAAAGAAGTCTATTCCAGGAATCCAGGATCTTGTGGGTGGCACAGTTCTGGGCGATGTTGGAATCAAAAGGCGCCATCCATGCAGGTGAGCTCCTGAGCTGAGGAGGAACTAGGGTCCAAAAAGGTGAGTTCAGTTCAAAATGCGATTACACATGAGCGTTGGGAGGGGCGGAAGGGAGTGGTGTGAGAAGAGGCGGAAGCAGAGAAATATCCTGGTTTATTTGGGAAAGGGGACCAACGACGTGGCTGGCGGTGGGACGAGTACCCGCTTATCCTCCAGGGAAGGAGAGGTGGTGGGGGTGGGGGGAGAAGGAGCCTTCGATGCGCGATTGAAAGTCTGAACAAGGATGGTGTCAGGATAGGATGCCCACCCACCGGCCAGGACAGAAGAAATAGTTTATTTTTTCCCCCGGGCCTCAGTTTTCTTATTTGTAAACCAAGAGGGTTAGAGCAGCTGATTGTCAGTGACTAAACCTTTGGCTAGAGTGAACATTTAAGAGGATGTGGAGCGTGTCAAGTGAAGAAGGCGTCAGCAGGTCTCTTCCCGGTGAACAGAGGCCTCCACGGACCCGGGTGACTGCTGCTGGGGGCAGAGCTGCGCCAGGTGCAGCCCGCGGACCGGATCCCCTGCTCCTCCCAGGAGCCTGTTACGCCACCCACTCCTGGGCCCCGCCTCAGGCCCGCTGGGTCTGAACCTCCAAGTCATCCTGTAAGATGCTGAGGAGCCCTGCTCCAGGGTTTAGAGCATCACGAGGTCCTTTTTGGTCCTAAAATCCAGCACCCTCAGAGCACTCCTTAAGAAGCCAGAAACCCATAAAGGTTCTGATCTGGGACGTGGTGAGCAAGTCGGAGGTTGTGAAAGGTTAATTTTGCAAATCAAAGAAGAAGGAAGCATTGGAGAAGCCATGCCACTTGGAAGGCCCTCACCTTGGGTCAGGTGAGGAAGATGGGGCCGTAGCACAGGCAGCCGGCAGTTTGAGTCCAGCATCGGAGCAGAATCTCAGGAAACCAGCCTGGCTGACCCGGGAGGCTGTAAAACAGGTGCCGCAGGTTTACGGGCCAAGAGAATCCAGCTGTCCTCTGCCACAGCGTCACGGCTAATAACATCGCTTTCAAATGTTTCTTTTCCTAGATGACAAGTAAACTGAGTCATTCCCGTAGGGCGCGACAGAATTCTGTTACTCTACTTACATTGTTTATCGTAACGACTCAACCCATTCCTGCTGGGTTTCTTAAAGCGGGCTTCTTCTGTCATGCGTAGTAGACAGCCTTTTTTAAAAAAATTGAGGTATATAGTCAGCTACAAAGTGTGAGTTTCTGGTGTTCAGCACAATGTCCCTGTCACGCATATACATACACATACTTGTTTTCATATTCTTTTTCATGAAAGGTTATTACAAGGTATTGAACATAGTTCCCTGTGCTGTACATAAGAAATTTATTTATTTTTATATATAGTGGTTAACCTTTGCAGATCTCAAACTCGCAAACTTACCCCTCCCCCACCGTCCCCAGTAACCATGGACTGTTTACTATGTCTGCGAGTCTGTTTCTGCTCGGTCGATGACTTACACTCCCTTAACTATGTATATTTGCACAAAGGACCTGAAAGCAGGAGTGAGGACAGCGGCGACCTGAGGGACGAAGAGGCACCGCGTGTGGGAGTGGTCCCCCCACACACCCAGCTCCGAGCTGCCCAGCCCCCGCGGGCCGCTCACGCCCCCTGCGGCCCAGGAGGGCCAGTGTCGCTCCGTGTTGCTTTCCCTGGGAATGTGGGTTTCAGACCAGCATGTTCGCACGTTTATTCTGGAATTCATTCTCTCACTCATCACATTTCTTGAGTGTTTCCCATCTTCCGGTCCCTGTGTCTGGTTCTGGAGAACAAAGAAAGGAACGCTCTGTAGAGTCGTGGTCACAGGTGCTGGTGGGGGTGTGGACAGTTGAACTCAGAGGAACCACATCCACATCAGGGTAGGTGGGCAGGAGAGGCTTGAAAGACCACCTCTTTGAAGTCGGAATATTTTCTAAGTATGTAACTTTGAGAAATGGAAACTGACCTTTGGGAAAGATTGACTGGGGTTATTTCTGGTCAGTGAGAACATCCACACGTGTGCTCTCCAGCTTCTCTGGGGGCTAGATGAGCCTTTCCTACTTCTTAGCGCAAGTTCTGCACTGGGAGGTGTGGCAGTGATTTGTTATCTACTTTGGTTTCTTTATAAGTTTGCATTTTTTTTAATGCAGGGCATGAACATGTTGGCATGTGTTTCTATGTTACCTGCTTAATAGGAACAATCATATTGGGAAAAAAATGTTTGAGAATGTCTTGTGCATGAGGAAACCCCACTGCCAAAGGTCACGGGCCAAATTACCATGTATCAAAATGCCGTAGGAACTTCTGGACAACAGCAAGGCTTGTACTGTCATTTCCCGTGATGAGTGAGTAGGGAATTATTTGGATGACAGGCTGATTACCTTAGGGATGGAATAATTTCCTAAATTGTCGGCCAGAAGTTGACCTCTTCATTTATTTATTTTTTTTCATTTTCAAAACAATTGGCATCTTGCTGTGTCCCCTCCACTCTACGGATCCTGTAAATGAGCTGAAAGTGACTGTAATTCTACTTAGTCTGTTAATTTTCATACCAGTTCACACTGTTGCCTTATTAAGAGCTGCTCCATTGTTCAAAATGGAGCTTGGGCTATGGTTTTTATTATCTGTTTTGCACCACGAGCTTTGAGTTTCTTGGGATCTTTCTTTTCCCCAATGTAGTCTGACCTTGAAAGGTCACTGTCTTTTGGAAGGGAAGAGACCATGATCTCACCCATTGGAATCATTTGTAATCATTTTTGTTTTAAGGAACCACAAACTCGTCTGCGAGCTGTGTGTACAGCTTAGACCCTATCAGTTGAAATTGTCATGCTTTTTAGAATTATTGGGGTAGGGTGGGGAGGGATAAATTGGGAGTTTGGAATTAGCAGATACTACTATATATAAAATAGACAAACAACAAGGTCCTACTGTACAGCACAGGAAACTATATTCAGTATCTTATAATAGCCTATGATGAATAAGAATATGAAAAGGAATATATATATATGTATAACTGAATCACTATGCTATGCACCAGAAAATAACATTTTTAAAAACTGAACTACAGTCAGTTACAATGTGTCAGTCTCTGGTGTACAGCACAAGGTCCCAGTCACGCATATACATACATATATTCGTTTTCATATTCTTTTTCATGAAAGGTTATTATAGGATATTGAATGTATTTCCCTGTACTATACAGAAGAAATTTGGCTTTTTGAAATCTATTTTTATATATACTGGCTAACATTTGCAAATCTCAACTCCCAAATTTATTCCTTCCCACTCACTTTCCCCAGTAACCATAAAATTGTTTACTATATCTGTGAGTCTTTTTCTGTTTTGTAGATGCGTTCATTAGTGTCCTCTTTTTTCTCTTTTTTTAAGATTCCACATATGAGTGCTATCATATGGTATTTTTCTTTCTCTTTCTGGCTTACTTCACTTAGAATGACAATCTCCAGGTCCATCCATGTTGCTGCAAATGGCATTATTTTATTCTTTTTATGGCTGAGTAGTATTCCATTGTTTAAATATAATACAGCTTCCTTATCCAGTTAGCTGTTGATGGACTTTTAGATTGTTTCCACATCTTGGCTACTGTATATAGTGCTGCTATGAACATTGGTGTGCTTGTATGTTTTTGAATTAGAGTTTCCTCCAGATGTATGCCCAGGAGTGGGATTGCTGGGTCATATG